CGATTCTATCCAAATGCATATTTTCCATATATGTTTCAATGATTTTTAATGCCTTTCTTGCTTCAGGCGTTAACATTCGGGGTGAATTTGGATCTGATGGAACTTTTAGGATATCAAATAAAGGTCCCAACTCTCCTGTAGGTATACCTAAATAAGGCCTTATCCAATTTATGTCTCCTAATAACTTTTGAAAGTCATTAAGTGATTTGAGTTGATCTACTCGTATTTGAATTTTTGGTGGACGGATCATGGTTGAGGATAATAGAACTCCTAAATAATTAATTGGAAAATTTAATTGTACTTTATCTATTGCTATCTCTAGATTATAATTTTTAATAAGTTTGTAAGTGTGGCATAACATTCTAGCAATGTGTTTTTATCTTTGTGTGCTAATAATACATCATCCATATAGTGAAATATTTGTAGTTCAGGATTTTGATTTCTAAGTGGCTGGATTACTTTGTTAACATAAATTTGACACATAGTTGGGCTGTTAGCCATCCATTGAAGGAGTACTTTCCATTCATATCTTTGATCAGGACCTTCATGATTCAGTGCAGGGATAGTAAATGCAAAACGTGGACTATCCTCAGGATAAATTGGAATTGAAAAAAAACAATCTTTAATATCTATAACTAAAACATACCAGGTTTTTGGCAAAGCAGACAACTGAGGAATCCCTGATTGAGCAGGTCCCATAATAACCATCTCATTATTAATGGCTCTTAAATCTTGCAATAATCTCCATTTACCAGATTTCTTTTTGATGACAAAAATGGGAGTATGATGGGGAGATACAGAAGGTTGTATATGTCCTTCCGCTAATTGTTGTTTGACCAGGTCATGGGCTGCTTGTATCTTTTTTTAGTCAGGGGCCACTGAGGAACCCATACTGGTCTTTCTGATTTCCAAGTAATTTTTATTGTCTCACTGGCCCTTTCTGAAAATCCAACCCATGTCTTTCTGTTCCTTGATCTATTTGTATTGGTGCTGCTATACCTTGTTCTTGTTTTTCTAATTTTTTTCCTTTCCTAAAACCTTGTCTAGTCATAATAGTGGGTGCATTTTGGTTGATGTTATTTGTTAATGTCAAACCTAATTGATCTAGGACATCTCGTCCCCATAAATTTACGGGAAGATGATCCAATACATATGGCTGTATAGTTCCTTCACATCCTTCAGGATCCTTCCAATCTAATACCATTGCACTTCTATGGGGATTAGTCGCCACTCCTAGGCCTCGAAGCGTTTGAGTGGCTTGTTGTAATGGCCAATGTTTTGGCCATTCTTGACGAGAGATGATGCTAAGGTCTGCACCTGTATCCAGTAGCCCATTAAATTCATGTCCTTGAATATTTAGTTTTAGCATGGGGCAAGAATCTAAATTTAAAGAAAGCATAGCCCAATCTACACCTGTGGAGCCTAATCCCTTGGAACCTCTTTCTACAGTACGACTGGAAAATTTATCATGTAGGCTGGGTATTATTAGTAACTGTGCTATTCTATCTCCTGGTGAAATTACTGATATACCCTTTGGAGAACTGGCTATAATTTTTATTTCACCTTCATAATTGGGATCAATTACCCCAGGACTTATCATAAGTCCTTTTAGAGTAGAAGAGCTGCGTCCCAATAATAAGCCTACTGTTCCTTTGGGAAGAGGTCCTTTCACCCCTGTGGGAATGATTTGAACTCCCATCTCTGGAGTTAGTACTGCTCTGGCGGAGGCGCAGATGTCCAACCCTGCGCTCCCTCTGGTTTGTCTGATGAGGGATCTGATGGACAATGTGTCCTGGGCACTACCCTGATGGGGTTGCTGGGTTCCTCCAGTGCTCCGTATATTTGTGGTTTTGGGCCCCGGAGCATTGGGCCCCCCTGTCCATTTTTTGGCAATGGGGCCCGATGCCTTTCTCCATGATATCGTGGATAAACACCTGGTCCTTGTTCATTTTTTGATAATGGAGTACCCTCTATGGTGGTTTGAGAACGGCATTCATTAGCCCAATGTCTCCCTCTATGGCATCGTGGGCAAATACCTGGTATTCTACTCCTTTGATACCTAGTTTTGTTAAACCCTCCTCCAATGGGGCAATTCCTTTTAAAATGTCCTGTTTGTTCACAATTGTAGCATGTTCTTGGCCTGGCATCTAAAGCCTGTTTTACTGCAGCTGCCACAATTTGCCCTTGTTCATTAATGTCTCTGGCATCTAAAGCCTGTTTTACTGCAGCTGCCATGACTTGCTCTTGTTCATTAATGTCTCTACATAATTTAATATATGTGTTTAAATCTTCATGTTTCCATGGTCTAATGATATCTCTGCACCAACGATTCGCTTGCTCATAAGCCAGGTGTTTTAGTAATGGCATTGCTTGTTCTGTATTCCCAAAAACTCTGGTAGCTGTTTGAATAAGCCTATCTACAAATTCAGCATAAGGTTCATTAGCTCCTTGTATTACCTTAGATAATTGACCTTGTAAACCTCCATGTCCTTGTAAAGCCTTCCATGCCTTAATTGCATCTGCAGCAATTTGTGCATATACGCCAGGATCATATGCAATTTGTTGCTGCTGATCCTCATAAGGTCCCTTTCCTAACAACATATCTAGATTTCTCTGAGGATAACCAGCTGCTGCATTTCGCCTAGCCGTCTCCTTGCAAAATTCCTCATTGGCAACCTTCCATAACAGGTATTGTCCTCCATTTAGCACAGCTTTACACATATTAGCCCAATCTGCTGGTGTCATGTTCAAGTTGTTAATGGATTCGACCATGCTTACAGTGAAGGGTGCTTGAGGACCATAGGTTGTTACAGCCTCTTTTAGCTGCTTCACTGTTTTGAAATTTAAAACTTCGTAAAATCGCTGCCCTCCTGCCTCAAATACAGGGCATGTTAATATTTGAGATCTTGTCTCAGGATCCCAACTATCAACTGCGGAGGTTGGGGACCTCCCAGCATATGGAGGTGGCCTTGTTGGTTGGACACTTACGTCCTCTGGTGATAGAAAGGTGTTAGTAGCAGTCTCCTGTTGTAACTTTCCCCCTGATGGCTTTTTCTGTTTTACACTTTCTTTCTCTGTCTGACTAGCTTGAGAGGCCTTCTCTTTTACTTGAATCTTTTCCTCTGTCTGACTAACTTGAGAGACCTTCTCTTTTACTTGAATCATTATGTCTTCTTCTTCCTCTACCATTGTCTGAACTGAAGGCTTTGGACTAAGCAAACAAGATATGAACGTCCACAATGGCAATGTGCCAACTGGCAGAGTCCCTGGGCTTTTCTTTTCTATTCTTTTTAAATCTTCACCATGATGGTTCCATTGTGATATATTTAACAACTCCTCCTTAAAAAGCCATGGGCTACATTTTTGTATTGTATCAACGTATGCCCTGATTGTTCTTGATTTTACTGAGATGCCTCCTTCCTCTAACAATTTACTTAACACTCTTTCAGTTTGTTTTTTACTAATTTCTGATCCCGTATTTCTACTATAATACAACCCAACAAGATAACGCCTAACAAAACTGAAACTGAGTGAAACAAAATTGGAACAACACAAAATCATTATAATAGCCTCCTGAAATGTCCATCCGTCCTTTCTCCCTATCTGTTCCTCAGATGTGAGCGGTTTTTCTTCCATCTTACACATCTCCAGGGACAGGCAACTTAAAACAAAAGTGAAACAAAATAACAAAAGAAGAATCTTAAAATGGCTACCCATCCTCTCGCCCTGCCCTCAGGGGCGAGCAGTTCCCTTACCCTCAGTCGCTCCCCGTGCAAGCCACCAAATGCCGCAGTCTGGCTGGGCACAATCAGGAGCCACTTGTCAAAAGAAACTAACTTTATTTTTAGAACCACACACACCAAACAAAACAGCCTCTCAGGAAAAACCCTCAGAGCCTCAACTGCCACCACCGGCTTTCCACAAGCCTCTCTCTCCCACACAAGCTTCTCTCCACCTCCCACAATCCTCCTGCTCTTGAGGCCGATTGGCTGGGTCACGTGGGCGGAGCCAAAAAAGTCCCCCAATGAGCAGCTCCGTGGTCTGAAAGGGCAGGGAAACAGCCCAATGAGCATCACCGCAGAGGAGCCAATCAGCTAGATGTTGCTGGGGCTGAGGAGCCAATCAGCTAGATGTTGCTGGGGCCGCTGTGAGCCAATCATCAGCCGGCAGCTGGAAGTTTGCTGGCAGCTGGAAGTTTGCTGGGGCCCCTTCGGCTGTGGGTCTCAACAATTATCTGTGTTCCATTGAGTTGCCTTTACTCCTTTGTAAAATATCGATTGATATATATGAACACTCTAAACTGTTATTGAGATGTGTGTGTGTGTGTGTATATATATATATATATATATATATGCATAAATATATACATATATACATAAATAAAGAGAGAGATGTTTATGGACTCTTTATTCTGTTCCATTGGTTTACATTATAAGTCTTGAAGTCAGTTATAGCCACCCTAAAGGGGGAAGCACAGGTTGGTAGTTTCATCTTTACCTTGTTTCACTGCTCATATGTGCAAATATTATTTTTATTAAAAAAAATAACTAAAAGAAGATCAATAAAGAATAGCCTGGGGCTGGGCTATGGCTCAGCATTAGCACACTTTTGCCTGACATGTGTGAGGCACTGGGTTCAATTCTCAGCACTGCATATAAATAAATAAAGGTCTATCAATAACTAAAAAACATTAAAAATGAATAGCCTTGGCAGGAAAGTTTCTATAGAAAAATAAGACCTTGAAAATAATGAAGAATCTCTTCATCAAAATGAGCAGGACAAGATAAGGAAAAAGGCTTGCTAAGAGCCAACTTAACATGTAGGCCAGAAATCCTGGCAACATACATGAATAAAAAGAGATCGTTTCCCCAGTCACAATGTGGGACTAGGGCTGAAGTTCTGTTTTGCCTTAAGAGCAAAATCAAGATATTCCCTACTGTGCTAACTCTTTGAACTTCTCACTTCTGTCCTCCCCCTAGTGCCCTCTACTTCTCACAGCCATGGGTCAGGCATCCTCCTCCACAACCCCTAATAAAGAGGCTCAAGATTTTACCTTCAGCTGTGACAAGTTTTTTAAGACTTTCAAGATGGAAAGCAAAATCCTCTCTCCAGAAACCATTGCTTCAATTCAATCACACCTGGATGAGGGGAATATTCAGAAAACTGTTTCTGCAATTAACGATGCATTGAAAAATATCCAGAATGCCCCACTGAACATTGCAGTGACAGGGGAGAGTGGAGCAGGGAAGTCCACTTTCATCAATGCCTTGCGGGGGGTGGGGCATGAAGAAAAAGATGCAGCTGCCACTGGGGTGGTGGAGACAACCATGGAGAGAATTCCATATCAACACCCAAAGCTTCCTAATGTGATAATATGGGACCTTCCTGGGATTGGGACCACTAACTTCCAACCACGAAAGTACCTGAAGAAAATGATGTTTGGTGACTATGATTTTTTCATTATCATCCCTTATACACTCTTCAAAGAAAATGATGCACACCTGGCCAAAGCCATTGCAAAAATGAACAAGCAGTTTTACTTCGTTCGAACAAAAATCGATAGCGATATATACAATCAGAAAATATGCACACCTAAATCCTTCAATAGGGACAAGCTCCTGCAAAAGATTCGAGATGACTGTCTCAAACACCTGGAAGATAACAATATAAATGGTGCTCAAGTCTTCTTAGTCTCTAGCATTCACGTGTCTAACTATGACTTCCCTAACCTGGAGACCACTCTTCTGAAGGAGCTGCCCGCTCACAAGCGCTACATCTTCATGCAATGCCTGCCAAGTGTTACTGAGGCTGTCATTGATCAGAAGAGAGATTCCCTGAAGCAGATGGTCTGGCTGGAGGCCCTAAAGGCTGGAGCATCAGCTACCATTCCTATGATGGGATTAATCAATGATAATGATATAGAGAAGTTAAAGGAGACCTTAACCCTCTACAGATCTTACTTTGGGTTGGATGATGCATCACTGGAAAATATGGCTAAGGATTTCCAAGTATCCATGCAGGAACTCAAGGCAAACATTAAATCTCCCCATTTGCTCTCAGTTGACAGGGATGAATCCTTAGGGGAAAAAGTACTGACATATATTGAGAAAGTTTGCTCAGTCACTGGAGGATTCCTTGCCACTGGTCTTTACTTTAGAAAGGTCTTCTATTTACAGACTTATTTCCTTGACACTGTGGTCAGTGATGCTAAAGTTCTCCTTAAAAGGGAAGTTCTTTTCACAGACTCAAAGATCTCTGAGCAGAGCTTTAAAAATGGGGTAAGTGAAGCAGAGAGCCCCTGACTTTACCTCAGTGTTTTCATGGCACTGCAGACTGAAGAGATGGCTTAAGGATCTCTTGAAGCATCATGGCCAGGCTGCAATATTCTTGGATATGATCCTTCTTGGCAAAATAAAGTACAGGAATCTGGAATTGTATGCTAAGAAAAGAGAATATCTCTGTGTGCTGGTTATTTGTACCCAGGAAAGGCTCATTGAAGATATTGGACGCAGTGAAGTTTCTGGACACATAGCATATCTTCAAAAAAATTTTTTGAACAAATTTTTTACATAGCATGTTTTTTAGAGTTCCCAATATTTTGCTAAAAAGGTATCATTCTGATCATTTATAAGCCAATTAATGTTGATTCATATCTTTCTTGTTTCTTTTAGGATTATCATTTTATTTGGTGAATACATAAAAAGAGTAAATTGGGGGCTAGGATTGTGGCTCAGTGTCAGAGCCCTTGCCTGGCACATGTGAGGCACCAGGTTCGATCCTCAGCACCACATAAAAATAAATAAATAAAGGCATTGTGTCCATCCACAATTAAAAAAATATTTTAAAAAAAGAGTGAGTTGGATATTGTTTAATGGGAATGACCGAGAAACATTAGTTATACAAAACTTTCATCTAAAGTACTTTATTACAGGGGTAAGTGCACAAGATAGGAACTTGGTCCAAGGGTGTGCATGCTGGAGGCCTAATTACTCCTTGGTTGTTAACAAAGATCATTGTGTGCCTGAAGTTGAAATGGAATAAGAGAAAAGAGGATAGTAATAAAAATAAGTAGAAATAAAAAGAAATACAAAATTCCTTAAACAGGGCTGGGTTTGTGGCTCAGCAGTAGAGCACTTGCCTAGCACGGCAAGGCCCTGGGTTCAATCCTCAGCAACACATAAAAATAAATAAATAAAATAAAGACATTATGTCCAACTACAACTAAAAAATAAATGTTTTCTTTAAATTCCCTAAACATATGAAAAGATGTTCCATCTCTCATCTGATAAGAGAAATGTAAATTAGAAACAGAATCTAACCTAGATATAATTTCTCACATATTAGATTTGGAAAACTTACAAAGTTTAATTTTGAGTGAAAATTTAATTTCGTTTTACTCTTCTGGTATCAATAAAAAAAGATACAAAAAATCACATGGTCTATAATTAGGCTGGGGAATTACACATATTACATTGTTTATATATATTTAACATATATATTTACACATTGACTCAGTGGTCCTACTTTGAACAATCTGTCATAAAAGTTAGATAAAGTAGAAAAGGGTATTTGCTTGAAGTTATTAAATATGGCACTATTTGAAATAGGAAATACCGTAAACTATTCAAATATTCTAGTAGGGAATTGTACATCCATAAAATAGAAGCCTTGACAACCATACCAGGGAGTGAGGAATATCTTCTATATTGCTCAGATGTCATCTTCAGGACAGACTATTAAGTACAAAAATCAAGATATAGAAATATGTATATGGAATATCACTGCCAATCTAAGAAAGTTCAAAATATGAATATGCCTTCAACATACCTTAAAGAATAACAAATCCTCAGAAATCAAATTTAATAACCTTTAAGGGAAAGGATCATACTGGGTAGAGGGACAGTAGTAAAAGCTACATTTCACTTTAGCTTACTGTATCTTGGAACCATGCTAAAGTTTTATATACCTAAACAGCTGAATAATTAACCTTTAAAAACAATATTTATGAAATAGAAAATAATATGAAACAAATTAAGGTGGTTGGCATAACCAAATATAAGTTATTTTAAGATTATAAAATATTTTCATATGAGGCCTGGGGATATAGCTCAGTTGGTAGAGTGCTTCCCTTGCACATACAAGGGCCTGGGTTCAATCCCTAGCACCAAAAAATATACATATTAATATGAAAGTAAATTTCTAGTAGAATATATTCCAAGAACAGAGACAATGATAAAATAAAACTTACACTTTATCAGTAGCAATATTTATAATAATAACAATGATATTGCTTTACTGTGAATGTATTATACACATTAGGATAAAGCCAAAAAAAAAAGCAATTAGTTTAATGTCATTAAGTAACAAGACATTCAGAACAACAGACAAGAGATCCAAATGTAAGTTGAAATGCTGGTGCACATCTGTAATCCCAGACTCCAGAGGCTAAGAAAAGAGAATTACAAGTCCAAGACCAACCTCAGCACCTTACTGAGGCCCCAAGCAACTTAGCAAGACCCTGTCTCAAAATTTTAAAGAAAAAAAATTAAAAGATCTGGGGATGTGGCTCAGTGATTAAGTGTCCCTGGGTTTAATTACCAGTACCAAAAAAAAAAAAAAGATTTAAATGTAAAACAAAAAAAAAAATAATAATTAAAGTAAAAATAGGAAGTATGAATACATGAGATTTTATCTTTTTGTGTATAGTGGAAAAAACCTAACAGCAATGACTAATCCAGGAACAATGAACACTCCTGTCACCACCCAATCTGTGATCTTAGAATACCACTGCATATATGACTCTGGGACAGTAAATTGAACTTCTTAGTCTGATGCAATGAATATAAAATCTGCATTGTAAGGTTAGAAAATAAGGAAATTGTTGAAGAATGTTACAGATGTGACCGAACAACTCAGAAAACAATTTGAGATGGTACCACTAGACTAAAATGGGACAATTTGAGAATCTACATGTATAAGAACTGTAGGAAATTGAAATATGTCCAATCTGTTTTCATCAGCAAGGCCATAGTTAAACTTTGGTCAACTTTGAAGTATCCTAAGAAACCAACGCTTAATTTTGAATACTGGCATATAAGGGATTAAATCACATATAATAAGAATAAGTAAAACATAATATACATAGTAAATCATAAATAATATGCAATTGTATGTATAGTCTATGTGTGAATTTATATATTTTCATTTTCAGAACACTCTACCCCAAAAGGACTGGTATTAAGGGAGGTACCACTAAACCAGTGAAGTTGGCAGGAGAGAGCATGACCAGTATTTGAGAACTGGTTATTGTGAGGAATCTTGAGTGTTGTTATCAGAAACCCTGAAAAGCAAGCAAAGGGCTAGAATTTGGAAATATACACTTGCTGAGAGAGTTCCAACATCATAATCAGGAAATTTAACCCATCTCTGAATGAAAAAAAAAAGCAGAATTCTAGGAGAAAGAGCAAAAACTGTGAAGGAATCCCAAGATATCAGAACACAGTTCCCTTCTCTGTGTGAGTGTTTCAGTCTGAGTCAGAACTAGACACTGGAATGGTTAAAAAAAAAAAAAAGCCAAAACTTGGATGATATATTTGTTGACATGAACCAGACAGCACTGTGTAGGATTTAAAATGAGATTGTTGAGCTACACAAATGTAATCGTAAAAGTTATGAGATAGGCTAAAGATAACATCAGGGATAGAGAATAGAGACCTAGAAGGACATATTAAAAGGAAATTAAATTAATTGGTTTTTATTTAAATTAAATAAAAAATTAAATTAATTGCTTTATATTTCCTCCTACTTTGTAGAACATTGAGGCTATCATTTCAATAAACTGCTAATTTTTTTAATGTTTTTGTAATAGAAAAAATAAGGTCATTAAGATTTTAATGATGAAAGAAAATTGTGTTTAGTAGTCATGATTAGTTCACTATTCCTGACTTGGTAACAGCTAAAAGAAAGGGAAAAAAATGTTAAGCTAGCTGAGGACAGTGGTGCATGCCTATAATTCCAGTGGCTCAGGTCTCTGAGGCAAGAGGCTCACGAGTTCAAAGCTAGCTTCAGCAACCCTGGAGGCACTAAGGAACTCAGTGAGACTCAGTCTCTAAAGAAAATACAAAAAGGCACTGGGGATGTGGCTCAGTGGTTGAGTGCCCTTGAGTTCAATCCCCAGTACCGAAAGAAAAAAGAAAACAAAAGTTAAGAAGCTTTCTAATTACACTTCTTTCCTGATTGTGTGGGATCTTTTTGACAAAGTCTAAGCAGCAAGAAGTGACCACTCTCAGATTTGTAAAACATGTTAAATGAGCTCTGCATCATTTTGGCTCTAGTTTAGAACCTCTTAGAAGAGAAGGAGAAAGGAACACTATAAGAAAAATAGAGGCATTATTTGACAATTCTTTTTGTGTTTGTTTGTTTTCTTGGTGATGGCTGGGGATTGAACCCAGGGCCTTGTACGTGCGAGGTAAACACTCTACAAACTGAGCTATATCCCCAGACTTTTGACAATTCTTTTTATGAAATGAAGAAAAGCAAAGTCCTTGGTTCATATAAAATTTTGACCTCTTGGATGCAGAAGTAAACAACGTAAAGTAAGCCCAGGATAGGAAGGCACTCCAACTTGGATCTTGCAAAGTTTGTTGATGAGGAGGTGATCACAGGTTTTGATACGTTTCCCAACAGAGGTTATTGCATTGTGACTAGAATTGACACTCCTAAATAGTTAGGACTATGCTTTTGGTCCAGAAGTATCTTCTTTTACCCATGTTAGGAGATGGGAATAGGCCCCTTTTCCTAATCAGTTGGGGTCAGAAATGTGAGTGGCATGAAAGATATACAACCCTGTTTGCACATTCAGTATGTAAATGATTATTTATATAAATTGAACATGACGGTTTCGAGGATGTAAAAGCAACTGAGTGGCTCAAACTAACCTTTTAAATAAGAAAATTGACTGGAATAGAGATTATGTCAAATATATTGATGACAAATACAGTTTTAGAAAACTTTGCTTTGTATGCATATAAGTATATGTTGTGTGTGCATACCTAAGTTCCTAGACATGTTCCCTAACCCAAAATCGTTAAAAGAATTCACAACAATGCTTTATTTTTAAGGTTTAATCCCAAGGCAGTGAGAGTGAATGGAAGGATGAGAGGCAATGCAGATTGATAGTTTATACCGCTTGTCACTGCATAAAAATGAGTCACAGAGAGACAAGGCCCAAAACTCAGCAAGTGGACCTTCTCAATCATGTGGTGTATCTCTGCAGAGGCTCAGTGGACAAAGTCTCATGCCT